AAAATGCAGAATCGATTTTAATTTAAATCTAGAGATCCACTATGCCTGGGAAGCAGCAGAGGCCTCAGCACCAAACACTTTCCAGAAAGCTGGAGGAGAGGCCTTGGCCTGATTCACCGTTGCCCTGGCAACAGTAGGGCCCAGAGGCCTCTGGCCCTGATCCCTTAATCTGAAGAGCCACTACCACATTGCCTCAGGAAAGGTCCCCGCAGACACCTGGCTAGTTAAAGCTACCCTAACAGGAGGGACAGAGAAAAGATGGAGGTGGGCTCTTTCTGCCTACAGGTCTCCATGATGGTCTCGGCTCTCCAGACTCCCAAAGGCTGAGTCTAGAGAATTAGGCCACAGAATCTCCATCAGGTTCTAAGTGTGGTCATGGCAGTGGATGGCTTCCTGATCCTTTGTTTCTCCATGAAGGTCAGCACAATGCTTTGCACACATATATTAATAAAAATGGGGGCTGTGTGACAGTGAGCATCCCTAAGGTGCCAGGCCCTGCTCCATTTGCTGACCTCCATGAGTGACCAAGCCAGCAAGGCAACCTGCTCCTCTTTGTCTCAACTTCTCCAGTTGGAAAACCATAGGCTGGACACCAAGGCCATTTTTGCCTCTAAAAGTTTTATTTTCTTACTACATTCATAATTTTGACAAACATATGGCACAGAGCATGTTCTGCTTGATATGTTGTTTTCCTTCATTTTGTCTAAGAATAAAATGGAATAATTTGAAAGAGGCGCTGGCTTTCCTTTTTTCAATAATCTTTCAGGTCCCAGGGAAAGAACTTTGTGGCCAAGCACATGGACTTCAGAATAAGACACAGGTTCAAATCCTGGCTCTACCATTTGATTGCTGTGTGACTTTGGGCCCAATCTCTCTGAACCTCAAGCTCCTCGCCTATAAAACGAGTCAAACGATGCACACAGCAGAATTATGCATTGTTTAGAAGGCAAAGTCTTCTAAAGTAAGATGTGCTCAGTAAGTGGCAATTATTCTTTCTGGTACAGAACCCCATGGGGCCAGTGGCAAGTGACAATTTAGGAGTTTGAAAGTCTGGCTTTCTAATTAAATTAAGGGCACTCTTGGGAAGCACTATGAAAGAGTACCACATACCCAGTAAGGAGGGTATTACCCACTGCAAACTCTGGCGAGCGGCTGCAAGGTGAGTTGAACGCCCCCCCACCACCAACAACAACTATGATATCGTGACCCAGTGTAGTTGCCTATGTGGTTTGATTTGAACTTCCTCACATGAAAATAATTTTCCGCTTCTGCTTGCTGGGGAAATTTCCTTTTCAGAGATTCATTCTTTTAAAATACACTGCCAGTCCACCACCTATGTGAACTTCTGTTTTAATGAAATTAAGCTGGCATTATTAGCTAGAAGCTCATAATGAAATTTTAGCTTCTAGACAACTTCTATCAAAACTTTAGTAGGTGCCAATGCCTTTGCTATGTATTTATTCTTTGTTATTTAAGCCTCAGAACAATGGGAACTTTGTTATCCCCCTGAACAGATGCGGAAGTTGGTATTCTGTTAATTTGTGCAAGTTCACACAACTAAATTGAAATCTACATCTGCTTGACCCCAGAGGCTGTCCACACTTCAGTGACCATCTCTGTAGATGTCGGCCTCGGACCACTATGGAACTTATGCCAGGTGGAAAGTGAGAATCATGATGGTATCAAGGTGTCAGGATGAGGAGAGGGACGACTGGAGTACAGGGTGCTGGATGCTTAGAAGGAAGAGGCCTGAAGAGGGAAAGGGAGATAGGGACACAGAGATTCCCTGACAGCCCAGCTCCACATAAGAAGTACCAGTCTTTGACTATACTGAATCCTTTACACCAGATGCCTAGAAAAAGAAAGCTTGTTAGCACCATTCTTGGTAAATGCATAACAAATGAAGTTACTCTCTGAGTTCCTACCCTGGATTTCATCCCAAAACATCATCTTTCACTTGAGTCAGAATATTTCCAGCACTCTTTGGTCCTCAAATTCCAGGACTAGTCAAGATTTGGAGCAGCAATGGCCCTCCACTAAATATTTCCAAAAAATCTCTGCTAACACCTCTTCAAGGCTTCAAATACGCTGGTGTTCAAAAGAGCCATTTCCTCAGCCATCCTTCAACATCATCATGACCCATCCATTGAATACAGTTGGTTCTCCCATGTCTATGGTAGGATTCCTTCTCCAGGTTCAGTCTTTTGCCATCTATTTGCATCAATGTTCTCTCCTGCTCAGCAGTCTTCGGTGATTTCTCATAAAAGGTCAAATTCAAACTCCAGTCTTGAAGCCTGAGATCCCTCTGCACCCCAGGTCTACTCCAAGCCAACCTTGTTGACCCCGTTTTCTCTCCACAAGTTCTCTCCCAAATCAATCACTGTTCTCTCATCAATTAGAGCCCACTTTCCACACTTCCGAATACCCCCACCCAAAGGCCTTCCTCATCTATGGAATTCTCCCAGCCCACAGATCCACCTCCACGGAGAAGCTGTCCTGACTTCTCCAGCTCCTGTGGTCAGTAGAGCACTGTGTGCTTGGCACTGTTTCCTGCATATAAGTCCCTGCTTCTGGATGTGACTCCTCTCCAGCTGGTTCTGGAGATCTGGATTAAGACTGGCCACCTCTCCAGCTCTTTGTGCCAACCCAGCCTCTGCCCCTGCTCTGGCTGTCTGCCTTGATGTCCTACCATCCTTTTACAAATTTGCAGTGTAAACAGAGAAGTCATATCCTTTCAAGAATCAGCTTTTGGGTGTCACTTCCCCTTTCCATGATTTATGCATCTTTACAAGGAAAGGAGGTGGGCTGACTGCTATGGTCCTTTCTGACAATAGTGTAGCATCTCCTCCCTCTAATTCTCCTGTGTGTTGGCCCCCTCCCCACTCCCAGACTCATGACTTAGTCTGCCTACTTCTTGTCTCTCAGGTCAGTCTCTCTGCCTTCAGTGAAGTCTGGCCTCCCCAGTTCTCATGGAGGAGTGGGGCACTCCATTAGCCTCCATGAACTGGCCCATATTACCTGAATTCTCTCTGGGTCACTGCCAAACCCAGGAGCAGAATGAGTCATTTGCTCTGTGGGCAATGGAACATGCCTGCATTTTCTTTAGGCCTCGCTGGATGGCAATTGGTAATGAATACCCAGCGAAACCAGGGTGCATTCATGCATGTAACAAATCTAGAGAGTTTTAGGGCAACATACAAACAAAATTTTAAAAAGTCCAGAATGGTGTCTTCTTTTATGGTTTCCCCTAAGACTGGCCCCAGGGTCCTCTGCACCCCTTCCCTATGCCTCCCTGCCACCAGCCACACCACCCTCCAGCCACATTTCAAGCTCAGCAGGCTGCTTGGTCCTGAGGGAAGCACCCAGCTTTTGCTGTAGGACCATCTTTCCAGGCCATGCTAGACCTGTCACTCTTCCTGCCTCCCCCTGAACTCCCACTTGTCTGCCCACATCAGGGCGCCAGGAGCTTCTACACTTCCACAGGCCCATTCACTGTTTCAAGCTCCTTAGCCCTGTCTCTCTTCGATTTTATAATCAGTGGGATCTGCATCCCCTTCACCATCCAACATAGGGAATAAGCACATAAAAGGGACTCAAGAAAACCTGTCAACTGACACTAGGCACATGATGTCCCTTGGCCACCTTCTCAACCCCTCCCCTTCAAAACCAAACAAAAACGGCAAACAGGAAACACTCATCTTTTAAAAAATTACTCTATTATTATCAAATAGAACCACAGTATCCAAAAGGTAATTATAAAGTTCTATCCCCAACTAAGTGCCCTTGCACCGCCCCTCCCAGTGGCAGGCGGCCAAATCACTCCCCCCGTGCTGATTGGTTTCATCCATTTTATTGTCAAGGAAATTAACAGCCTGAAGGGGTTCCCCCAGGTCCAAGCTCTCCCCACCCCTGGAGCCCCGGTAAACACGGCAGCAAGCAACCTGGTCTCAGGACCCCTGTGTCCTTGGGAGGAGGGACGAAAGGAGAGGGGGGCTCACAGCAAAGGGGCTGGGGGCTTAGAGGGGTGCCCTGCCCGCTGGGTTCAGGCCTCTGGGCAGGCAGGCTGGGCGGCGGCTCATTCGCCTGTGTGGGTCCGCAGGTGGTACTTGAGCGACTGCTTGTAGCGGAAGCACTTTGCGCAGTGCGTGCAGGGATAGGGCCGCTCGCCTGTGTGGGCGCGCTGGTGCTCCAACAGGTGATGCTTCTGCGTGAAGCGCTTGCCACACTCCGCGCAGTGGTAGGGCCGCTCGCCTGTGTGGATGCGCCGGTGCTCCAGCAGGTGGTGCTTGCGGATGAAGCTCTTGCCACACTCTGGACAGGAGTGAGGGCGCTCCCGGGAGTGCACGCGACAGTGGTTGGTGAGCTTGGATTTCTCGCTGAAGCTCTTCTCGCACTCGGGGCACTTGAAGGGCCGCTCGCCCGTGTGAGTCCGCTGGTGGCGCAGCAGGTGAGAAGGGCGGCTGAAGCTCTTGCCGCACAGACTGCAGATGAAGGAGACTTCGTGTTTGCCCGCATGCACACGCTGGTGGATGACCAGGCTGATGTGCAGGCGGAAGCTCTTCTTGCACTCCGGGCATGTATAGGGCCGCTCACCCGTGTGCGTGATCTGGTGCTTGGTCAGGCTCGACTTGTGGCTGAAGCTGCTGTCGCACTCAGCGCACTTGTAGGGCTTGGGGCCGCCGCCACTGCCTGAGCTGGGCGACTTGGGGCGTGGCTTGAGCGTGTGCTTGGAAGCGAAGCCTGGCCCACGCTCTGGCGACACGTAGCCTCCACGGACGCGATGGATGCGCTGGTGCAGCGTGAG